ACACCCATTTTTTTTTATCTCATTCTCATTCTCATTTTTCTACAGTACTCATTTCTAACCACACATTCTCCAAATAAAATAATATTACACATAAACCCAAAAATTCTTCTTACTTTTTAACCACACATTCTTTATATCAATCACTATTCAAAAACTCATTTTTCAAAGTAATGGGTGTCAAACGGGCTGTAAATTTCTATTGGGGTCTATTGAATCCAATAGTAAAAAATGTGTCCCCTACATGTGTGGCTATTAGCTGAATGGAGGATATCTGGAAATATTTGATTTTATAAATCTAAAAAATATATTCAAAGAAAAATTAACGAGAGAGATATCTAGTTAGATTTAATAACATCTCTAATACGATACAAATTATAACAATATATTACATTAAAATTCGGCTAAAAAATTTCAATTGCGATAATCTCATGCACATCCAATCTAAGTCTACAGTTCGTTTACTCTATTGGCCAAAAAACTCGAATCAAAATGGAAAGAGTTACATATTCACATTCTTGCTCGAACTTTTGTAAGACTTTTACACAAGAAAATGGGTCATATGACTTTTTAAATATTATTATATTTTGAAAATGAATTTCATTCTTATTTTAATCATAGTTTCATTTTCTCCTCCCTTGAACCCATTCTAATAAGTTGTGCGATGTTCCATATTCGACATCACTACTCATGTTACTTTCTTTGTTTAAATGATTTTGAAATCAAGAATGAAGCCCTCGCTCGATAGGGTCAAGAGCTGAAAAGTCAATATATAATTGTGCATCTAGTTTAGACTTGTGTAGATATTTTAAAAATTTGATGGGGCACTTATCATTTTTACCTATTGAAATATAGGAAAAAAAAAAGGTGCTAAATAGTACGGAGAAAGATCGCATTTTTTCCATTTTAGTTGTAGCACCTGTCTAAAAATGTCTCCATCTCGTTAAGCTTGAGGAGTTGTTGGAATGGTTTTGGATCATAATGCAGTCGAAGGAAGGAAAAAAGGTAGAAATAAAAAAGCAATCGTCGCCTGAGAGATTCGAACTCTCGCGGGGAAACCCCATGTACTTAGCAGGCACACGCCTTAACCACTCGGCCAAAGCGACTGGCTGACTAAAGCTTATTTAGCTCCTATTTGTTACACATTAAAATTTTCATTCTCATTTTTCTACTCATTTTCAACCACACATTTTTTAATAAAATAATATTTTACATCATATCAATAACTTTTCATTCCTTTTCAACCATACTTTCTCAATCAATCTATTATTTCAAAATATATTTTTCCAAAATAACGTGGCTCAAACACACCTTTATATTAATATATCTATAATTTTTAGCACTTTCAATTTCGCTTTCATATTATGTATTATACAGTGAGTGAAAAGTGGACTTACATGGAAGTGTATGTGTAGTCTTGAATTGTGAACTAATAAATTATGAATAAAGAAGTTAGTACAACGAGCGGACGAGATGAAAACTTGTTGCAAGATAGAATTTACTTACTTTGTGTAGTCACAAACATATAATAATTTGGTTGGAATAATAAACACATAGACGTTTTAGAAATTATCATTGTAGTGTGCTTTACATAAATTCATTTACCTTGTTCTTTTTTATTCCATCTTCGAGCCATTTGGCTCTTTTCGGCGTTATTCAAAAACAGAAAAACTTGCAGAAATTTTCTGTGTATAACGCAACAACAAAAAACTTTAATCCAACCTCAATATATAATACGGGATATGGAACATTCCCATAACTTAAAATTCAATGCACTTCTCTTACTTCTCCGTCATTCTCTCGATTTTCAGATGTATTGAGTTGACGGAAATTTGTGCATAGATAGTTTTGGATGTGGCGACGATTTGCAGTGTGGGAGGGTGGTGGGCGACGATAATCCGATGGGTTTCTGGTGTTCATTTGGTTTTACGGGGATTGGAGGAGAAGAAGGTGAGTTTTATTTATTTATTTTGTTAATTTAATTTTTAACTTATTTTATATATATAATGTGAAGTTATTTTTCTACCATTTTAAAATTAGTCAAAGTCAATTTTTAGGTCAACTAACAATTTTATGGATGTAATTTATCCATTTGTCCTTGTGATGTAATGAAATGAAAGGTTTGAGACCGAGAGTCGTATAAACGAAAAGTTTACGTGAAGTTTGCAAAAAAATGAAAGACTTGCCTGGTGTTGAGGTTGATGTTCAACGTTTTAAATATTACCTTTCTTAAACTGAAAGAAAATACTAGTTTAATCACACAAAAAAGATGAGTGTGATCACTTTCCGCGAGTGTATTTTGTGTGCTTGACTTGATCGTAATTCCAAAACATAAAGTCCGCCACGTTGGACAATTTTTTAACTATTTTAATATTGTTTCAAAATCGAAATAAACACTTCATCTTCACTACATTGCCTCGCATTCGGAGTCCATTAAGGGCCCGTCTGGACGCACTTAAAATCACAATTTAAACCGTTGATAATTAAAGTTTGGGCCGTTACTTTTCACAAAAATATACATTATTTGCAGAGTATCGAACACATCAACCGCAAGTTTGGACAAATTTATGGTAGAATGACCATTTTACCCAGGCTCTTTAATTCATGTTTGCATGATAGTGGTGTGCTGTCGTAGGCACCCAAAAATAGTCCTTAAACCTCTAAAACTAATGTAGTAATGGAAGTAAGGGTCGATCCCACGAAGAGTGTGTAATTCAACAATTTATACTTCGTATAACGAGTGGGGGTTTTGTTTATAACGAAATCAATCTTATAACAAATAACAATATAAATTAACGAATTGTATTAAATC